CGTCTGACAGTGTTTGTCAATCGTTGCCATGGCGACGCCGACGGCACGACGAGACCGCCCGGCGGCGCGCGAGCCTGTACTCCTAGACCTTTTCACTTCAGCTAGGATGATTCCCGATTCCTGGTACGGCGTGGCACAGATCATACTGCACGCCCGCGGCCCACGTGTGACCGTGGCGTCCTCGTAAACATATCGACGAAAGGTCGGTGACCCCTTTTGATTGTTTTACGACCGCCGACTAAAATAATCGAGCGCATGTTCAAGTCTCGCCGTGTCTTCAGATCTATTTAAGGATAGGTGTTTACGTTTCCTGAAAAATGGGACGCAGGAAGCCCCTTTCTCCGCCCGACTATACATAACGTAATTAAATTTTATGTCTAAACTCTTTTTATAAGCTGTACATTGCAATCCCATAGAACCAATGGCGAAATAGGTGCATTGAAAGAATTCATCATGCTGAATCATGTATCTTCAAACAAGGTGGACTAGATCCAAATTTTAAAACGGTTAATTATTGGAAGTTTGTAATAAATAAAAAACAATTTTATTAAAAAAAGTGACTTTAATAACTAAAATAACATGCGACCTGACAATCATTCACGATATATTACAATGTTATAAAAACCAATTAATAATGTCAACCGAAACTCTATAAACTAAAAAAAAAACAATACAAAACTATCAATCACTAGTAATGTATGAAGGATAATTTTTACTAGAACAAAAGTAGAACAGAGTTACACTACTTTAAATAAGCAAATATTTATTTTATATTTTATGGACGATACAAAAATATAAGTCGTTACATCAGTTGGAAAAATGGAATATGATTATCAAAAATAATTTTACGGACAATATAATCTTAAGAATAGATACAGAACAAAATTTTAGTTACAATTACGAACACTTACAGTAAAACTCTATCGGAAAATAATTTAAACATTGTTCACTTTTTAAATGTTATAAGCATTAGAATGTTAGAGATCCCTTCATATAATGTACAGCTTAGTCACCATGATTACAACAATGTCATTTACATTTTAAAGGGAAACTATTAGTATACCGATTATAATCTTGCTCTCAGTATCATCTCATGACGTGAACATTATTCACAAATTAGTTTCCAAAATCCTAGTAATTACAGAATATAAAATTAGCTTTTACAATTTATTAGTGTCATTAATTTAAATATAATTAAATTCGAGCAAATTGTGAAACTATTATTAGTTTTAGAAGGCAACTAGTAAACTGTTTACATATTATCACAATAACAGTCTTTAAAAGTAAAGTATGTTGGCACATTGCGTCGGGAGCTGACATGTTCGTGTTGTGACGAGTGGTAGAAGTCGGCGTGCCGGGAGGTGCAGGTTGCGCCTCATGCGACTTTGTTTAAAAGTTCGTCGCAGATCGCCGTCAATTCCTCGTTAGCCTTAATCTTTTGTGCCAAAGTCTCCTTCAGCGAAGATATATCCATCTCCTTTCTCTTTATCATAGCTCCGTATTTTAAAACTTCGGCTTCGTGTGTCTTGTTCAGTTTCTCAAACTCGTCATTCTTATTGTTCAAATTGGACGTCGCGTGTTGCTTCAACAGTTCGTAGTTATTCTGAATTTTTAATACGTTCTCATCGAATTCTTTAATAGATCTCTTATATTTTTCTTCGTTGTCTTTGCAATTTAAAATTATTTGTTTATTTTTCTCATACTTACTATGCAGGTCATTAAATGACATGGTCATGCTCGCCAGGTGGGCATTCTGTTCATTTCTTTCATTTATTAGTTTCATTCGTTCTTCCGCATGCGCCTTCTTGTCCTGCTCTATTTCCGCTGTCAAACTGGCAATAGTCCTCTCGTATTCTTCGACTACAACCGCCATACCCTTGTTCATTTTGGTTTTCTCCGCTAGGCATTTGTTCAAGTCGTCTACTTTTCGGAGTCTCTGTTCACCTTCTGTTTCTAAGGTTTTAACTTGCGATTCTAACGTACGCAATCTCTCGGATAATTCCTTACTCTCCGACCTTAGGCCATGAACGTTTATTTCTTTTTCAGCTAACAGCTCCCTTAGCTGTGTCAGCACTTGGTCTGTTTCATTAGTTCGTCCTCGTACATCAGTCATTGACATTTCCAGGTTTAACGCAGAGTTATCGCCACTTAATGAAAGGAGGCGGTCTATAACAGCGATGGCGGGCGAAGTAAACGTATGTGATCGCCGATTTGTTCTCGGCGGTGTACAGGATTTGTTTCTTGGTGAAAAGACAGAATTAACAGCAGGATTCACCACCATCATTGGTTTTGAAAGTAAAACAGTAGCATCTTCAAAATTGGCATCTAAAGTGCTTTCCGTAGTTTCGTTAGCATTTTTATAAAAATCGATATTTGATAAGGCCTTAGAAATTCTCTTCGGCGTACTTTGTCCTTTTTGAATTTTACTAACAGCCGCTGCGTCTGTGGACATTCGTTTTGCAAAGAGTGGATCAAACTTTAAGAACAAGCTCTCTCTGCCACTGTCGGCAACGACATTGCTTTTATTCTGATTTAGAAGAAACTGGAAAGCTTCAGCATCAATAAACATTTCTCCTTTGTAGGGATTGTTACTAATCTTTTGAGTGGGTATATCAGAAAAATCTATCATGTCTTCGTGATCAGATTTTTTATCAACATCATTAAATTCTTCGGTTTCAAAGAAAGATGCTTCTACAGTGTCATCGTCTTCAGTGTTAACTTCGTGGACCGTCGCTTCTGAGGCTTTTGAGGACGTGCTTACATCAGAGGAGTCAAGTTGGTTTTTATCTACACATAATTTGCGATCTATAGATCGATCTTGCGTGTTGTCGTCACATTTATGAGAAACATGAGTCAAATTACCAGAAGGTACTTTGAAAATATGCTTAGAAACATCTTCTAAATCTGGAGTTGATGACGTGGCCGCATTCTCTTTCAGTTTTGAGATAAATGCACTTGACATTTCAGGCAAATTGAATACGTTTTTAGGCTCGCTACTTTTAACCGAACTGTCGTTGTCTGTTTCATGGATTGAAAAATTTGTAGCAAATCGTTCTTGACTTATAACATCTTCTTTATTCACACCAAATTTAGAATCTATCTTTTCTGTCTGGCAAGCGAATACCTCTATAGTATCAACGAAAGTATCTTGTTCAGGCAGATTAGAAGGAATATCAGGTGTACCATATATCTCGTGTATGTCATTTAATGAATTATTTACATTTACACTATCTCCTGATTGCAAATTTTCATTTTCTTCTGGATTTAAAATGTTGGAAGCCCCTACCATTTTGTTTTCTGTTGAAACTATATCCTTCGAATTAAAAATATTTATTTCCTTGCTATTAAAACAGTCACTTCCGTTTTCCTTATCCACAACTGAATCCATTTTTGTTTCAGTTTTAATGTTTTTGTCTTTAAGAAACTCCTCATACTTCTTGCTACATTCACCATGGTCATTTATTGCAGTATTGTTCAACACATTGCTATGAACAAGTTGCTTAACTTTATCCATACTTATTACGTTTTCTAAATTTATTACTTTATTTGCGTCCATATTAAAGATAGCACAATCATTCGGCTCATTTGAATAGGTATTATCAAAGTCAGGTAATTTATCTGATAATATTAATTCATTGAAATTACTTTCAATTACAACAGTTTCATCTCCTATATCTATTGTTGTCTTAATTTTTTCATCATTCATAAAATTAGTTGACTCTTTGTCAGTTTCTTTTACACCATGTGTCATTGAAAATGTACTACTTGTGACAACCACTTGATGATCTTCGATTGCACTAGCACAGAAATTCTTAGCTCCTGTAGTATTCTGTTCATTAGTTACAGTATTCAACATTTTACAATTATTAAGAGAATCCTGTTCAGTTACATTACAAGGAACTATTGACAAGTTCTCAGACATATTCATGCCTGCTAGTTCATTTTTGAATTCCTCTAAAATCAGTTTTTCACCATTAGTTTCTTTATCAGTAACACATTGAGGCATGTGTTTATCATTTTCATTCGTTAATTCATCAGTTAGTTGTTTATGATTATCATTAATTTCTGTAATGACCGGTGTAACAGATATATTTGTAGCGGTATCAACTGAGTCAATAATTTGACTTTGCATACAATCTTCTTGTTTGTGTAGACATACTGGTTGTAATGGACTTTCCTCTGTAACAGATACATCTATTTTATTGGATGGCTTAAAACTAGTGGCTTCTAGGTTATTTCGATCCAGATTTAATTCATACTCACTTTGAACATCTTTACACCGCTGAGCCTCTACTGACTCACTATAATCTACACTCATGGCAGTTTGATTCAAATCTTGTTGTTCAACAGTGCATATAATCTTAGGTTCAGTCACACCTGTAGTATTGGGAAATTCAATAAAGTCATCATTATTGTCATTAGATAAAGGAACTTCACTAAGATGATTTTTTTCATTATAATCATTAATTACATTCCATTTCTCTGTGGTATTCTCTTCTGCACTCAAGTCATTTTTCATTAACCTCTGAATACTTTCATCATTTGATCCAAGTATTACATTTGTGTTAACATTATTCTCTAGTTCTCTAGCAGATGTAGAATCATATACAACATTTGTTTTTGATTCAAATTCTTTTTGATCATTTATGTCACAATTTAAAGATATTTTTTGATCTGAAATTATTGCTGTAGAAACATCATCAGTAATTTCACATGGTTTGTATGACACATATGATTTGTTTTTTGATTGTTCACAATCTGTTAATAAACCTTCAATGTTATCTATTACTTGTTTAGTGTTATCATGAATATGATTATCATCATTCCTGGTAATATCACAAGCATTATCTTCTTTTTCAGCCAATTTGCTATAGTAGGATTCCCCATTAAGTGTCATTTCACAGTCAACAAATTCACTATCTGACTCTAGAGTTGAAATTTCATTCTGTAAAGAAGGAAGTTGTATATTCATAGCATTCCCACTTTGGCAAATTGAAGCATTATTTGACATACTCATGTATTCTTCTGTTACATTTTTATTCTCACTTTTGTCCATTTTCAAAGTTTTTGTAACATTTTTTGAAGGAAACAACTTATGAACTGGAATTTTTTCATCCTTGAAAAATATAGTTGTTTCATCCTTCCACTGCAAATCCTTCTCAAGGTCATCATTGAATACAATACTATCTTTTAAGGGACTGCTTCTTCGAGACTCACTTGTTACTTTTCTATTATTTGCAATAGGAGTTGATACCACTACTGTTTGAGACCCATTATTTCCCACATCTTTTAAAATTGAGTCATCAACACTAAGATTTTCTTGTTTTATATTGGATAATGTGGTCTCAGAGGGGGGAATGGGACTTTGAGAGGAACGAAACATATTGAGTACACTCTTTAGACCCCTCATTATAGGTGAGCTTCCATCATGCTTTGGTATTTCCTTTGTGGGTGTTGTTGCTTCCGGTGTATGTGTCACAGAAGATGATGTGCTCGGCAGGGACATGGTTTCATCATTATCAACTGGTTCACTTAGAGTGACAGTTACATCGTTGTTAGAAGCTGGCTGTATGGTGCGCAACACTGATGTATTTTTATTATCAATCACTGTGTCACTTGAATTAGCTTGCAATGGGAGTGACTTTAGAGAATTGACCACTTCAGATTTAGTGATTGCAGAATTTAAAGAACGGGTCAAATTATTATTTTCAATATTCATAGCAGTTGTGTTATTATCATAGTCATTAAGACTTCTGGACATAGGAGAAGCGGCAGGAGTTATTGAATACCTCAGCTTCATGTTCAATTCCGACACATCCAGTTCCTCATATCCCTTTTCCATGCAAGGCGTTCGGGGCAGCACATTGCTGTGATGGGAACTATTCTCTTTGTTGTCAAAATCGCTTTCTATATCGTCAATGTCCATGGGCTCCACTTGAGCCATTCTGCTAAATTCAAAAAATAACTTACAAATTTTCCTGCTTCGATACTAAACCACAATTCTTCTGTTGCTACTTATTGTTAATGTCATACGATACAACTCACTTAACAGACGTTCACTTTAATATTTAAAGTATTTGATACACTGAGTTTCACTTGGATTTCTAACGCATATCTATAAACGAATGCAATGTATGTCATAAAAACAAAAATGTCAGAACGTGAATTTCAGTCAAAAATCTATTTATAACTTCGTTGTGGCGCAAACATCTCGACGTTTAGTTTATATAACTCGCTCCCGAAGGAACAAGGGAATCTTGCCAAAAAGCTGTTACGACCACACACAAATACACCGCTCAATGTACCGAGACCGTTTTGCCGTTTTGTGTTTGAAATTCAGTAACATTTTAAAAATTTAAACGTCAAATATAAACTTGCCATATTTGCTTGGCCTTTATTTTTTTCGTGGGCGAAGTATTCATTTGCCTAATGTAAGAATTAATTTTATTACAGATTACGTCATAGGTGAACGCAATGAAATAAAAAAAGATTCAACTTCTTGCGAAGTGATTAGATGCTTTTTGAAGTTAAAAATCTTTTATTACCTAAAGAACTATTCATCCGGGAGGCAACACTGGGTTTAACACGACTGACCAATGACGAATGACTGACGTACAGCGACAGCTGTCAGTGTGTCAGCTAACCACCGGCTGACATTGACACATTGACACAATAGAATTGAACTCGAATGTCTTATTCAAGAATACCGAATGAATTTTTAAAGTGTTCAAGGGTGCAACTGCGAGTACACCAAAAGTTCTTAATCTTTAGTTTCAAATGACTTCATGTTATAAGGGTAAAAATAAAGAGTTACTTTATATATTTTACTATTCTGCTTATTATTACACACACTGTAAATTCATTCCACATTCACACATCAGTTTACTTCACGGCTTAGCGACTTTGTTCATAAATTAGTTGATTACAAAATATGACATGTTAAATTGACTATATATCTTTACATTTGGATTACGTTTTTCTGTTACAGAATGAATAATGGAAAGTGAGCATGCGGTCACAGTGAAAGTGCTATTTTTTGCTCAGTCAAAGGAGTTGGCGGGTACTCGGGAGGCTACTATTCAGTTGCCTTCGAGGATCAGTTACAAGGGGCTACTCAATATCATCACAGAGACATACAACTTGCAGTCTTTGAGGAATAATATACTTTTGGCTAAAAATGAGGAGGTTTGCGAGCAGAGTGTAGAGTTGGAGATCAAACAGGAAGATCGAATTGCAGTGATACCACCATTGAGTGGGGGCTAAGCCGCTTGTCATATGGTACCTTAGTTATAAATATGGATCACTTAAAATTGACAGAGGACAAGTTGTCGGTGGAGGCTATTAGTGAGCTGGTAGGGGACAGCAGCTGCGGAGCCATTTCTGTCTTCATTGGCACAACTAGAGACAACTTTGAAGGAAAAAAGGTAAGTTTATTGTATTGTTTATTTAGTAGTGGGTTTGTTATAGTTGGTATAGTTAATTATAATCAGTGTGTTTCACAGGTGGTGAAGTTGGAGTATGAAGCGTATGAGGCGATGGCCCTGAAGGCATTTAAAGACATTTGCAATGAGCTGAGAGGCAGATGGCCGGCTGTGCATGGCATTGCTATTTACCACAGGTATAACTATACTTTTGTATATTTAATCAGTAATGATAACTTGTTATAAGGGAAGTTCCAAACAACTTGTCATATATTATAACTTTAAATAATGCTTGATCAATGCAAGTGTTTAGCTCAGTCCCGATGTTTGAAAGTGAGTTGATATTATAAAATGTGACAAATATTGTTTAAAATGATATTCACTTTGTTTGTAATGTTACATCACTTTATTTGTTCAGTTGTTTTATCAGTGACATGAATTTTAATGAGGGTACAAATGTTATCTGGATTTTACTCATTAAGTTATTTTTAGTATTTGGAAGAAAATTTATTTTGTTACAAAACATATTGACAATGAATACACAGAAGAAATTCCTCTGGAATATAAGAATATTGCAAAATTGTATCAAGATAGATCTTTTTGAAGGATTTTTTTACATTTATATTCAGATTGCAACTGCTAAAGTCACCTTAGTATAGTTTTTAACAACTTGTATCTATGGAGAAAGGCAATATGTTAACTAGATGTGTAATAGAGGATGAGTGTGATTAGTGTTCGGTGGGGCATGATGTGTGACGAGCGACCTGCATTGTCTGCACCAATTACATATTGTAATTGATAATGTTCTAGTCATATTTGCAATAAACTGGATGATTTCATACTCAAGTTAATACTCGTCTATCATAGGGCCAATAATTTGAAGTGTAAATGATGTCTGGAGTGTGTGCAGTGTCGCAGTGTGTGAGTGTGTGCAGGCTGGGCGCGGTGGCGTGCGGCGAGGCGTCGCTGGTGGTGGCGGTGAGCAGCGCGCACCGCGGGCCGGCGCTGGCGGCCGCGGCGCACTGCCTGGAGCGGCTGAAGGCGAGCGCGCCCGTGTGGAAGCGCGAGCACTACGCCGGCGACCTCGCGCCGCACTGGAAGGAGAACCCCGAATGTGCGTGGGCCCACGTCCACACCGACACCGACACCTCTGTCACCACTGCACCTAAATGATATTACAGCACTTGTATGGGCAATCACTCACGGGAATAAGCTATAAGCTCTCCTGTATTTATATGTGTTATAATTAATTGTTTTTTTGACAATTTTTGATAATTGAATAAGGGTATGATAGATACTAAAATTTACAATAGGTTAGAAATACTGCAGCATAATACGCGGTTGTCGATACGCCCCGAGCGTGGCTCGGTTAGAATGTGTGGAATTAGTTAAGAAAAACGACCATAGAGTTGGTTTTTTTTTTTGAGAATTTATAGTGTCTTGTTTTATAGTATAGAGTCTATAGTAGTATATAGAATCGTTTGCCTTGTTACGAGGTTTCTTATTGTTGTGCGAAGTACATGTTGTTTTTAAATAAATATATGCAATTGTTGATAAATACACTTTGTTTTTATTGAATGGTCCTAAGAGCCGGACGCTCTCCCCACTGACGACCGGAACATCCTTGCAGGTTCACCAACACTGCCACCTCACAGATCACCATCTCCATCACCTCCTCGTTCGCCGGACAACACGACCGACACAAACTTGATTCAGATAAATGTCTCCAACGAGGAGCTGCAGCAGCGCATACAGAACTTTATAGAGCGGAAGCGCGCGCAAGTGGACCTCAGCAACATCGTGGACTTCATCCCCGGCTGCGGCGAGAGCGATGCGCAGGCGCAGGACGCCGACACGTGCGCTCGGGTGCGAACGCAGTTCGTTAAGCGCTCCGACTCCAAGGGTCACTTGAAAAGTAAGCATTTGTAGACCTCGTATTGCATATAAAATGTACATGTGGAAATACAATTGCTGCTTTAAATGTGCTATGGTACGATATGAATATTGTATTAACTGATGCAACTTCGTCCAGTTCGCAGAGTGCACAACGAGTGGGGCCCGCAGGTGTCGTGCGGG